GGTGGCAGGTGAGGCTTCGTTTCCGTCAAAGAAAAACACAACTGTATGGCTTTTTGCGTTGCTCTGCCTGGGTTTTCTTGGAAAATAGCTTTCAGGCGTCCTAATAAGTAGACAATCTAGCTGGGGGAAACGCGCTCCCTTCTCTTTTTCCGAAATGAAGGTGAGCTTGACTCATCCAGGAAGGTTTCGAAACCAGCTTCCTCTGTTATTACAAAAACTTCCACATTTTGAGCATAGGAATCAGCGTCCTTTATAACTGGACACGTCTAACTCTTTCAATTTCCCTGAAGACACCTACTAAAAGGGGTCCAGCGAGTGATCCCATGGCTACTCCGTCTAATTGGTCATACAACTAGTCATCGAATGGGAGCTAAATATTCGGTGGACAGCGAAAGAGAAGACACTGTTTGGCTATGGCGACTGTTTTAATTGGGAATTCCTGCTTAGTTTTTTTTAAAAAAGTATTTCATTTCCTGTCACGTAGGTTTGCGTCGTTCTGTCAGTCACTTTGCAACTGCAGCATAGGAAGCATAAATTTTGTGGCGTTGGACCAAGCACTTCAGGGACGCCCATAATCCTCTGTCTGCAAGGTAATTGTCGGAATTTCTCCGGTGAAAAGCATGATTAACCTTAATCACCCACCGTAATGAGCTGGCTACTACGGCTATACAAAAAAATGCTGGCACTGACTTGATTATATTCAAGTTTCATAAAAATACTGGTGTGTGCTTTTTGAACAAAGTGACCGCGCTATTCCAATTGAGGGACTAAAAACAAATCCCACAAAATCTTAAGGACGCCACTAGTTTTTACTATCAATGTGGAAGGGGAATCGAGAATGTATTGGCACTTACAAGAAAAAATACAATACGTGGACATACATACAACGCGGACTTAAAAGCGTTAAGTTACTCCTAGGTTTACCGGCGCTTAGGAAAGGGTACCACCGATCGCTGGCACCCGATGTCGCGTAGGGGTTCGGCAAATAGTTGGTTTATGGTGTCGATCTGAGACGATAGCAGTAAAAGCCGATCGAGGCTGTCTGACTCAACGGCTGACCTACCTCCTACGACGCTAACGCCTTTTTGTTTACTACTGCGAAGCTGTATATGCAAATTTGAATCCCATACGTCAATGCAGAGATTTCGACGGGACCAGCTCTGAGTAGTTGTTTTTCTAAA